CTAAATTGTAAAAGTTTTTATTATTATCAATAAATAATAAATTATATAATAAAAAATAATATCTCCCTTTATAAATTTTTTTAATATAAAATTTAAATTTTTTATTTTTAATACAAAAACTTATAACTCTTAATTATTAAAAAATGAGACTTTATGGACGGTAGCTGCCTCATTAAAGTATAGGAAACTCGTCATCACCCCTTTCCCCATGCACAAATTCTGTCTATAAATAGAGCTTGGTTAACAACGCATCATCACAACTTCGATAACAAATTAGCCATGGCAATAACCAACATCTTCCTCTTTTCTGCCCTTTTTCTAACTTCTAAATTTTCCCAATCTATTGCAAATGTCAGTTCTTTGGCATCTCAGCTATTCTGCTTCGGGTCTCTTCTTTTCATCTTCTGGTTCATGCCATCTAAAAGAGTGACCCTACATACATGCACAGCACTTGGAAAGAAAATGCTGTGCTGCTTAAGGTCTCCTCTTTTCATGATGTTTAGGTTCAGGACCACTCCTCTTCCACCTGGTCCTAAACCTTGGCCCCTCGTTGGGAACCTCCCTGAAATGCTCATAAACAAGCCAACACATCTCTGGATACACAATCTCATGAGCCAAATGGGCACTGATATTGCACACATCCGTCTAGGAAACGTTCATGTCATCCCCGTTACTTGTCCTGAGATCAGCCGCAAGTTCTTACGAGAACACGACGCGGTTTTTGCATCCAGACCCTATTGCATGTCCGCCGAGGTGGTCACAAAAGGGTACCATACAATCTTCTCTATGCCCGTAGGAAGTCGTTGGGAGAACACGAAAAAAATCATTGCTAGCCACGTACTTTCTCCGGTGAAACATCATTGGCTTGCCGGAAAAAGGCTGGAAGAAGCTGATAACCTTGTGCGTTTCGTGTATAACCAATGCGTGAGTTATGATAAAACCGGAATGGTGAACGTCAGAACTGTTGCCCAGCACTACTGCGGGAACGTAATAAGGAAGATGTTATTTGGCCGGAGGTACTTCGGGACGGGGAAGGAGGACGGTGGACCTGGGGTGGAGGAGGAAGAGCACCTGGAGGCGATTTTCACGATGCTGAAATGCCTCTATTCCTTCTGTATTTCTGATTATCTTCCATGGTTGAGAAGATTCGACTTAGATGGTCATGAAAAGGTTACGAGGGAGGCTACCATGATTGCAGGAAAATATCATGATCCCATTATAGAAGAAAGGATTAATCAGTGGGAAAAAGGGACAAAGACGGCAGAAGAAGATTTGCTTGATGTCTTGATTAATCTGAGAGATGCCGATGGAAATCAATTGCTCTCAAAGGATGAAATTAAGGGAGAAGTTACAGTAAGTGATGAACTTCATGACACTTCCAATTTTATTTTGTTCTTAAATGTTAGGAAAATTTTATTAAAAAATAAAAATTATACATATAAAAATTATAAGTGCATAGTATTATATTTTAAAAAATTAAAGTGCAGCTCATGTTTGACAAAACTGCATTACCACCTTCTTTTATATTTTTTAAGAAAAACATTAACCAAATTTTTTTTTTTTTGATAAAAACAATGGTTAGTAGGTTAATATTATTAGATGTTAGTGATAGAAGATTTGATTTTCAGATCTAGTGAACAGTTCATCAACCTCAATGAAGATTTGATTTTCAAATTTGGTGAATAGTTCATCAACCTCAATGAAGCGCGTGGTTATCGTACCGCTTGATGGAGTTCAACATTAACCAATTATATTAACTAATAAATTAACAAAATTTTCTTAGAAAAGCTCGAACCGGATCTGTTGCAACCCTCAATATTGGACAATTTCTAAAGAAGAAATATACTGTAGTAATATTTTATTATTTTAACTTCGAGTCAACAATCAAAAGAAAATATCACTTACATGCAACAATTCTAAATTTTTTTAAATTTTATATTACATGAGAAGTGATAATTTTTTTTTATTCATAAATCATATCACTTGAATTTAAAATATTTTATTTTTATTGAAAGAAATTTTTAATAAATTATTTAGATTGTTACTCTTTGGGTCCTCGCTAAATATTGAAAGGATATTATGATTAATATGTTTTTAATTCAACATATTTTTAATATTTTTTAACATATTTATTAAAAAATTATTATTTTTAAATTTATATTAAAGATATAAAAATTAAAATTATAAATTTTAATAGCTAAATTAATAAATATTAATAAATATATTTGAATCAAATGATGTATTAATCATTTTTTATATATATTAAATTAAAATATAAGAATAAGTTGCTTGTATTCCTCTTTTACATTTTTAGGCAAACTTAGCTTAATTTTTTTATGACCCAAATTTTTATTCGAAGCTCTTGACAATGACAGATATAAAGACAACTTCATTTTTAAAAAGATTAGGACAAATCCCTCTCACAAATTACCTTCTTTTTTTTTTTTTACAAATTACCATTAAAATCTCTGATTTAGACGTTCCAATGCATTTAAACGATAGCTAATATAAGTTCTACAATACAAGCTTAAGAAATGTCTAATAATCATCTTAATTATTTTCAGGAATTGATGGTTGCAACAGTGGACAACCCATCAAATGCTCTAGAATGGGCACTAGCGGAGATGTTGAACCAACCTGAGATTCTGGAGAAAGCTGTGGAAGAACTGGACAGGGTGGTCGGAAAAGACAGATTGGTTCTAGAATCTGATATTCCAAACCTTAACTACATCAAGGCATGCATACGAGAAGCCTTCCGGCTCCACCCTTTCGCACCCTTCAATGTTCCACATGTCTCTATTTCCGACCAGATAGTATCCGGTTACTTTATTCCGAAGGATAGTCGCGTGCTACTCAGCCGCAAAGCGCTTGGTCGAAACTCTAATGTTTGGGAGGAGCCACTCGAGTTCAAGCCGGAGCGACACCTCAACAATAACGGGGCTAAGGTGGAGCTGAAGGAGAGTGAGTTGCGGTTCATATCGTTCAGCACTGGGAGGCGAGGGTGTCCGGGTGTCACGCTTGGAACTTCCATAACCGTGATGCTCTTTGCTAGGCTTCTTCAAGGGTTCAGTTGGGAGCTGCCACCAAATCAATCCAAAATCGATCTCAGTGAAGCCGGCGACAGCCTCTTCCTAGCAAAACCGCTGGTTGCTCTTGCGAAGCCGCGTCTACCGAAAAATTTATATCCGGTTAATTAAGTGAAATGATTTGTTAGGGTTTGGTGCGGAATTGCAATTGTGCTCGTTGTTGTTGTTATTGTTTTTTTTTTCTTCTGTGCTCCTTTTGTGTTGTGTCCTGTTGTGTTGTGTCCTGTCGTGTTGTTGTCGTTGTTTTTTCTTTTTTCAGTGGTTTTGATCTTTCGTGTTGTGTTGTCAGTTTTTTATAATATTTGGCAGCCTATTTGTTAAAAGAATTGTGGATGTACGGCGCTTCTGCAATTTATTTCCGGCACACTACTAGAGAACACCATTTCCCCAAGCAAAAAAAATTGGTGAGATGGACTATGGTGATGACAAATTGACTATAAAAAAGCATTAAACCAAATTAAGCTTAGTAACTTAGGGAAAAAAAAAGGAAAACGAGGAAAAATAATTTCAAAATTTCAACACTACAACTTTACAACCAGATTTCGATGGACTAGAACCAAATCCGGTGGCTTTAAGGTGATTTTAACAGCTGAGCCTGAGAGATGCGAAATTAAGAGGAAACAAATGCTGTTTGAAATTTTCTGAGAGCTACAAAGAACTGGTAGGAATAAAAAGACCCAAATCTTCAAATACAAGAACAAATCTCATATGTTTTCCATTGCCTATTTTCAAAAAGGAAAAAAGAACAAATCTCATGTTGGTAGGAATATTTGGGCAGTTCTTTATGTTCTCTAACTTCCGCAGAATCGCAAAAACTTGCTCCTCAAGATGCTTGTGAAGCCAGCGAAGCGGACAATTCTTCGAGCTCATAAAAAAAGTCATTTTCTTCTCATTTAGGCAATTCATCAGGCATGTGTTGAACCTATAATACCCCCCTGCAAAATTTTAGCATCTTTGAGAAAATAGCAAATTGGAGGAAACAGACATTGCAATGAAAGAAAATTCAATTTATACCTCAAATATTTCATACAATTATACAAAGGAAATCTAGGGGATTTAGTTTTTTTTTTTGGATAAATTAGTGAAGCAGTAAATATTCTAGGAATCCCTAGCTAGATTGGTTTTTCCTCATATTTTCTCCAAGACCATGAGTCAGAACTTCCCTACATTTTCTCCCTTAGCCATAATAACAGTGTTGTCAAACACCTTCCTGCAAAAAACCATGAAAATCATTGAAACAGTGAGACAAAATCAACGCTACAAAATCTTTCTTCTTTTTTTTTTTCTAAAAAAAAAGAGCATAAATATCCACTTTTTGCATGCCTGATTCAGGTTTAAGTAGTTCAGATATGAAGGGCAAGAAGTGACAAAATTTCTTTTGGTAGCAACAAGCAGTGAAACCCAAGGCCAAGTTGCTGGACAACCAATTCCCTCCATTCTTTTCTTTGGGTACTATCTAAAAAGGCAAGTTAAATTAAATGTAAATTTGTGCAAGGTTATTTACAATGCTAATTTCTTTGTGCATTTTGTTCCAAATTCCCTCACCCTGCAAACCCTACCATCTCAAAACTTTGATTTGGTCTCTAAAGTTTTTAAATTAGACTCCAAGTTGATCGCTTTATTAAAAAATAGCTTACATGTTTTGTTATTATTGTGACATATGACCATCAAATAATGGACATCCAATTATTTTTTAATGAAGGAACCAACTTGAAGCCAAATTTAAAAACTTTTTAATTTCTAAAATTTTTTAGTTTAAGAACCAACTCAAAGATTCATTCAATAGTTAAGAAAGAAAATTGAGAGTTTAACCAAATATTTTAAAGAAAAACTAACAACTAATCTCACTTTTTGTCCAATCTAGTCATCATTGTTTATTTTTGTCATATTTTTAAAAAGGTTTGGGACCATCTCTAGTCTAAATAAAAGATTAAGACAAAAATCTAGTATTTATAATGAAGATTGGAGACTAAATCTGATATTTACCCCTTCTTTTTAACTAATATATTTTATTTTTATTTCAGGGGTTACATGCAAAAGGGAAAACATTGAAAAGGTGAAAATTAAGAAAGGGACTCAAAAGGAAACTCAAGGCCTAACCATTTCAGCAGCCCGTAACCATTTAATCCAAAGTCCAACCCAAACTCCCCAAAATTCCTCGTTGGTTAAATGCTTAATTTGGTCCCTTAACTTTATAAAATGAACATTTTTCGTCCCTCAACAATTTTTTGTACTTTTTTGATCCCTCAACTATACGAAATGCACTCCGTTAGTCCTTCTGTTAATTTCGATCGTTAACTCGCTTATGTGGCATTTTTTATAATTTTTTTTGATGATGTGGCAAAAAACAAATCGAAAACGTATTGACGTGGATTTTTTTTTATGCCAACTCATATTATTACTATTTATATTTT